TAAAATTATCAGATTTTTCCAAAGTAATGAGTCTCACAAGCTGAGGTGTTATATCAAAGACAAAATATCAGTATTTCTTTTGTAGATGTATTTAGGAAGAGGCAAAACTGTAGGGTGTTTTTTGTTGTTATGGGTTTTTTATGATTCTTAGTGTGTGTTTCTAGTCAGAAGAAAAAAAGTTCCCAAAGGTGCTGTTTTGTGATACAAACATAGCCAGGTTATGCAGATAAGAGAATCTATCAACTGCTCTACATTTGCAGCTTAATTTTATTAGGAAGTCAGCCGTCCCTTTGCTTCACGCTAGTATCCAACTATTGAGACCTTTCTTTATGCCTGTTTCCCTTTCCATTACAAAAACAATCTAATCATGCTAGTTTAGTGCTTACTTTATAAAAATTGCTTTCCACTTGTTCTTCAAAATTAGTTGATATAGGAAACCCACTTGGAAAGGACACTGTTTATAAAATGGCATGCCAGAATGTTTATCTGGCCCTGGGCTGCAGGAACCAGAGGATGGATGAATATCCTGCAGTTGTTTTGGCCGTGATTGTATCATGGATGGCAGGTTGCCAGTAGCAACTGCAGTAAAAGGTCCAGAGTGTTAGTGTCTTCCTCTGTGTGATGAAACAGAGAACATTTGCACTTTCGGAACTGTCTCAGAGAGGATTTGTGGCAGATTTTGGAAGACTTGAAGTGACAAGAGATGGAAGTAGATAAGCTGCTTGCAGGTTGTATGTCAACCTGTCCTTCTGTTGGCTCCTCCAGGCCTGGCACCGCTGACACTTTTTTTGCCCTTCTTTCTAGAACATTTAAAAGAGAAGCTGGAGGAATACATGGTCCGTTTTGCCAAAGTGAGGATTGTACGTACCAAGAAACGAGAAGGGCTCATTCGGACCAGACTGCTAGGAGCCTCGCTGGCTAGAGGAGAAGTCTTGACATTTCTGGATTCCCATTGCGAAGTCAACGTGAATTGGCTGCCTCCCTTGCTTAGTAAGTGCATGAGCGTTCATCAACCATTAAAATTAGAGCATACAGCGTAGCTTAACCAATCAAAGCCACGTCCCACAATTAGTAGGACATACACTGTATAGAAGTGTTTGGAGCTGTGCTGCAGTGTCTGAAGGGTCAGTATGAGACAGAACTCAGAGAAACGTGAGCAGCTCCGTTTTATGGTTCTTGTGACTAAAGAACTAGTAAAATTTTAAAGTTATCACTTTGGCCTATGAGAGTTACGATTTATTTTATTATTACTATCACTAAATACACTGCTAAATCTAGTATTATGCTATGCCCTTACTATCCACTTGAAAACTTTTGTTATGCAGGTATTGTACTCCTTCCTAGTGCTCCACATTCCATTAAAACAGCTTTTGCTGTAAATGCATCCAAGACCTCAGAGTTAAATCCAGTAAAAACTACATTCACAATAGGAAGCTCAGAAAGAATGATTTGCTATTGACTGCTTTGCTGGATTCCAGCTGCAGCTGGCAAAGCTCCATTAGTCAGAGGAATGGAAAGAATCAATTGTTGTAGTCTAGGATTTCACTTCAGGAAACAATGTCCCCTTTTCTACAAATGTCCCCTTTTCTACCTGACTACATGCAAAGCATATGTGCTTTGTAAAGCGAGTGCTTTTTTGCTAGAAAAACCAAAGAAAATTTCTGAGTTTACTATTAAAGAAATTTGTATTAATTAAAAGAGTATGTCGTAAGTACATGACAGGATAAGGTTTCACCAATTAATGGTTATTGTTTCTTGAATTTTGTTGCTAGGACTGGTTTGGCCACACAATAGGCTGATAAAGCATTTGCAGGCGAGAAGAGATGCTGTTCTGCTAATCAACTATCACTTGAGACAAAAAAAAATACTAGTAACTAGTTTTTCTTCAGATCAGTAACAAGATAATGTACAAAATTCTAAATTTACATCCTTTCTAGCTTCCATATCAAATTACACATACAGTCTATCCCCTTGTTACCACTTTGCTCTTAATCACAACCTCAGCATTTTTAAAAATAGCCTCTCTGTCTTCATGTAAAGCCCAAATGGCATAAAGGAGCAGAGGGAAATACAAGTTTCAACAAGCCTTCCACAAGTAGCCCTGACAAGTAGCCATTAAACACTCTGGCGTATTCTACAGCCCTTTCCTCTGCTTTCTGCTTTTGTCCCACCATGCAAAATACATTGCCCCTAATGAAAAAATCTCAAGAAGATTCTCACTCTTGTCCTCTGAAATCTTTTGCTAAGTTACTGCAGATGAGACGTAACCCTTCTATTTTGCTAACTTAGACATGGGAAAATTGCAAGTTGCAAAACCAGTTCCTTTTCTTGCTTTCTTGTCCGAAATGAAGGTACATCTAGCTGGGTTTCATCCTATAAAAACTGAAAAATAAATAGAATGGCCACAAAGGATTCGTAATTGCAGTTAGGTTGCAGTTGGGTATCGAACTGATGATCGCAACCCTCAGCCTCAAGCCAGAAAACTGGAAAGATGGGAGAAGCTTCATCAGGGACCAAGTCCCAGTTCTCCTTAGTTCTCAAGTGGAATGAGATCTTTATCGTTCCACATGTAGTAGAAATACCCTTAGCTAACCAGCCAGAGGATCTAGAAATTAATCTTGAGGAACACTGGAGCCCAGGATCAATAGGCTTTATTTTGAAAGAAAAAGTAGAGCATTACATGAAGAAGGACAAATAGAGAATGACTACACAGCTAGTATATTTCAGGATGCCCTGTTTTCCAAAAGGGATGAGAGAACTTTCTCATAACCATTAGGTGGCAAATATTTACTATACTGAAATCAGGTGACATCTAGCTACTAATAATAGTAAAGTTAATATATTTTTGCAAGTATTTATCTAAAGGTCTGGCTTGTGATTCACTCAACACTGCATTTGACTGAATGTCATTCAAGGAAATTAAAACAGAGGATGTACTGGGTATTTATTGCTTTGAAGCTGCCTTATTTTAGCTCTGGTTGTATATGCCATGGGTAGAGAAAAGTCCTCAACAAGAGCCCAGTTCAGCCCTGCTCTGAAGACCGCTGGTCTTCACTGAGAGGGGCAGTGATTTCCAATGTTCCAAACCAGTTTGGGGGTGGTTGGTTGTTTTTTTTTTTTCAAAATGGGACCTTGAAAGTTGGGGGGGAACCAAGAGCAATCACTTAAAGACAGTTCTCAAAGTTATTTAGGCATCTAACTTATATTTTCAGAATTGACTATCACTTTTTAGACCAAAGGAAGACTGGGTTATTTCAGTACTTTAGGTATCTAAATAGCTTTGTGGAGCTGAGCCATAGTTGTTTTCAGTTACAGTCCTTTGTTTTGTTTTCTTAAAAACAGGTGCAAAATGGCTTTTCTTTATTTTCTTTAAGATTTATGTAGTTTATTTCTTTAGCTTAAATGGGTTTCTAAACTGAGATGAGCCACTCAGAGAGTTTTGCCTGGTGTTCACTGGAGCAGGCAGCTGTAGTCATGTAGAAGTGTTGGCAAACACAGCTGTTTGTTATCACTTCTCTAGTATAAAGTCAGCAGAAGGAAAGATGTGACTTGGGCTCCAGCTGCTGTAGTTGAGAGTCTAGGGTAGTGTGAAGTCACAGTTATTGCAGGTAAGAAACTGAGCGGCAAACCAGCTGAAAGATGCAGGCACATCTTTCCCTCTGCTGATGTTGCTGCAGGAGCAGTAAGAGGGGAGATGGACGGTAGATCAGTAGTGCCATAGGCTACCAGAACTAGGTTTGTCAAAAAAGATTTTTTTCCTGACCAAGACTTAAAGCTAATCATTAATAGATCATGCTTAGCAAGTTATCAAGACACCTGCTAGCTATAGCTGTCCATCTCCACAACATTTATATGATGCATTACTTGCCAGTGGGGAGACTGAGAGTACAAGTACTTATGACAACACACATAACAAGATAATTTGCTGAGCCACTCAAATGTTGTCACCATCTGTAATCACATATTTAAGTAGGAAAATAAGAGTATCTGCAGTGTGGCATTCTTACTTTAACCAGGCCAATTTGAAACAAGCACTTGAAATTAAAGGGGTACATCTTTCTCATAAAGTTAAAACCTACATTTTTGAGATAGTGACTTACCCGATATTGAAAACTTCTGTTTATTGTCACATGTGCACACTCTGCTTGATAGTAAAAGCACTGAATTCAAATACGTGTGTATATAATGCTTAAAATTGCTAGGGAGAAAGATCTGAGCAATGTTCTCTCTTGATCCCACGCTTTCCCTCAAATCTGCAGGATTTTTACATGTACAACGATGCTTATCTGTCTGTTCTTCCCTTTATCTGCAGCATATGTGCATTGAAATAACGCATGGAAATTTTCAGACCAGGAGGAATTTGTGAGAGGATGATGAGTAAAGGCAAGAGAAAAGAACCTGTAGAGCATTTCAGCTATGACTTTCAGACCTTTGCGTTAGGAGCAGGTGGGATAAAGAGCAGTGGCTGGCAAAGGCAGCATGTTCACATTTGAAAAGCTGTGATACTAGCACTCTTCTGAAATGTAAGCTAGCCCTCCAGCCCTTTTTTCTGTTTCCTAAATTCATATTGGGGCTATATTTGAGCCTAAGAAGTATGTATGCAAAATTAATTATTTTAGGCATACTGAAAGAAACATTGAGGCTGCAAGTTTGATTACTCTGCCTTTTGGTGTGCATAACTGCAAACACCCTGGTTTCATCAAAAGTCAAGATCTTCCTGTGGTTCCTCATCATCTCTGAAACATTTTTGGGGGTGAGAAGTAAGTTCTGCAGAAACACACAAGAACAGGCAGGTAAGCATCATCTTATTTGCAAAAATCTTGCAGAGTTGTAGGAAGGAACACTGGGATTGAGTTTGAGCATTGCTCAAATAATTTTCTCCCTGGCTATCTCTGCATGTGACTTGGAGATTTCCAATCTTTCAGTCTATTTAAAGGCAGCGGCTTTTAAAGATCAAGAGAAGGTTGCTAATGTATTATGAGTCTGCCTTTGACCTGCTCCAGCCAAATCAATCCCATTTAGTTTCTCTCCCCCTATCAATTTAGAAGGGGGGGATCAGAGACAGATTATTATAAGCCCTATAACTATTAGCAAGACCATCACAGGAAAGAGATTATGTAAAAATGACTTTACATAATGATTACAGATAACGCTACACAGTATACCAGTGAATGTAATTATATTTGGCAATAGCAACAGTAATGCAGCCATTATGTCTGAGATGAGTTTCCTAGAATTTTGTGAGAGCCTGTGCTTTAAATTTATTTCACTATTAAAGGCT